GTAACGGAATACAGTTACTCATATTTTGTATTTTAAATACGTAACGGCGGTACATGTATTCCGTTACTCCCCAACACTGCTTAAATCACCAAATAACCCAACATGCACCTTACATAATTTCTTCCAAGGCGCCACACAGTCACCCACCTGAATGACTCACATTAGGTTTCACAATGTGCCAATACAAGACAAAAGTAATCATTAATGGAAATTAACATCTGTATCCCTATTCAAATAATGCATTTAAAGTTAATACCAAGTGCATTATTAAGTAACTGACACATTTTATTTGGATTAAAATAAGAACATAAGTTACACATGGACAGAATTAAATGAGAGATCAAGGGGGGGAAAGAGACAAGACAGTAAGAAAGAGAACAAGTGCAGCGCTGCAAAGACAGCTGTAGAAACAGAGAAGCGAATAAACTGAAAGAGGAGAGAGACACATACGGAGAGGAGCAGAGGGAGGGGTGAGAAATAAGAAGCCGATAGAGAAAAACATACGTGAGAATAGCAGAAATCGTAATGAACAGGGGGGAGTGAGGCAGACAGATGGGGGGAAAAGAGGGGAAGACGACATGGTGGGCAGACACGGTGGTCCTCAGATGTCTGCTTGTCCTCCTCATCATTCACTCTTCCCACAGCGTCTCTCATTCCTCTGTCTGAATCGCTGTCCTCCCGTCTGTTGTTGGCTTCCTCAGAGTGTTTCGGATCACTTAAAGGACTAGTTCACCTGAAAAAGAAAGCGCAGCATGAAAGGACAAATCCCTCACACTAAACAAAAAACAGCTCCATGTCCACTTTGTTCAACACAACAGATATTCATTGATCGGCCACAGCATTGATCACCTTACTATGTAATGCTCTGTGAGGTGCTGACAGTCCTGTGGATGTCACCTTGACACATACCTTGTTGCAAGCCATCGCTCTTATAGCTCCAAATTTTATTTGCAGCTATAATTTTATTTTTATTTCATTTGAAATGTTTTATTTTCAATTCAGGTGCGTTTCAGGTAGAGTGCTTTTGTTCTTTTCAGTTCACTGTTCAGTTTGGATTATTAGTTCACAACAGTACAATAATACGATTTAAAAAAATGCAAACACACAGTAGCTGTCATATAAACATCACATGATCAGTAAACATTTGCATTAATGCCCTTTTTTATCCTGTGGGTGCTTACAAATTTCAATAAATTGACAAACACTAAAGCCAAAGACATTTCATGCAGATTTGTATTATATTTTATTGTATTTATGCAGCATTCTTTCAGGGTTTTGTTTTTACTTCAATTTCCAAGCAAACCTACAAATGACAGCTACACTCTTTGGTTGTATCAGCCTGTTATAGCAACAGTTTTCCCCAAAAAGCTGCAAAATCTACTCAGGAACAAACTGAAGAAAGAACTCGAGGTGTTAACCCAGACTCTTAACTTTCCTGATTCTTGAGAGATCCCCCCCACGATCCACAGTACCCAATGTGTCTGCAAGAGATGTGCTGGTATGCCCCTGTTGGGTCTGTGCTCTTGGTGGCGTGTGAGGGATCAATGCAAATTAGGTGGTTTTCAAAGTTGCTACAAAAACAAGCAACTTGACCTTTTTTTGTGCTTCCATTTGTCATCGGTTGACGTCACCAGAATTTATCA